CCTGACGTTCGCCGGAACTCCCGGCTGTCGGAAGTCCCGATTTTGGCCGGGACTACCGACCCTATGGTGACTACTCCATTCCTGTTTCTTCACTTCTTGATGTTCGTTCACCTCTCCTTGTTCTATTTCTTAGTTCCATTTTATGTTCTACGCAGTCATGGATGGTGGTAGCAGTCCCTCGCGCCATCGGGAAAAGCGTTCCAAGAAGACTCAAGATCGTGCCGCTGTTCCGAAGCCGCCTGGCCGCACCAAGGCGTCTTACTTGCGTGGTGGTGCTGGTGCTTCCTATGGTCGTGGCCATGGCGACCAGGGGTCATCAGCTGCTGCCCCTCCTCCTGCTCCTGCTCCTGTTGGGGCTGAGCCGATGGTTGATGAAGCAGAGGAAGTGATGGACCGTGCCGGACGCACCCTTGCTGTTCCACCGCTTCGCACCCCGACTCAAGGTCCGCCGGGGACATTTCAGCTTGTTCCATTCACCGGTGTGTCGTCGGTCATGAGGGAGCCCTCCATGGCTCCGAATCTGGCTGGTGGATGGACTCCTCCCCTTCCAGTGAATTATCGTCACCGAGTCAAGGACATCCGGTACAACAGAGGAAGGAACCTGTATGTAGAGGATGAGAAAGATCTCCACCTTGAGTATCGTTTCTGGCACCCCTTCCATTATGATTTCTATGATTCCATTCTTTATCGGAAGTTTTTGACGAAGAAGGAGCCACCGGTCCTTTAGATGAAGTGCATTGATGCATATTCTCTTGGCAAGTACAAGGAACCCGAGCTGGAGCAAATGGTTCGGGATATACAATCAATGGGGCTGTCCTACCTGCTACAGTTCGGAAGAATTAGAACAACGAGCTGATTTGTCAGTTTTATGCTTCCTATATTCATGAGAGAGACCAAACCGGTGCTGTGGACTTTATTCACTGGACCACTGAAGGCAAGCACTATAAGGTGGACTTCGTCAATTTCTCTCGCCTTCTTGGTTTGGGTCACAGCGACCGGAATGCAAATAAGTTGACTGAGTATGAGGATCTTGCTTTGGAGGAATATCAACACATGTATCTTGAGGGTCACAGAGCTGATGGACAGACCACATTTCTGAAGCCTTATTATTATGTTCTGAACAACATCCTGAGACAGATACTGTATCCGAAGGTAGGTGACTCCACCTTCCTTCGTGATGATTCACAGAAGGTGCTTCAGAGATTTGGAGATGAGTTTGAGAAGTTCTCCATCAATCGCTATATATGGAATAAGATTCATGATGCTACTGAGGATCCGGTAAAGCATCTTCCCTATGCACCGTACATCATGCATATCATAGAGCATGTATCCGGCATCCGTTTTCCCTATGACTCTGAGCATAAGGTCCTCAAGATATCCAACAAGACCTCCATCATTGCTGCTAGAGAACTCAAAGAACAAGCTGAGGCAGCCCAAGCTAAAGGGAAAGGTCCTTCGGGTTCTCGCTCTCGCCGTGGTGCTGCCACTGCTGCTGCTGCTGCTCGCTCATCCTGTGACGAGCCCCTCTCTTCGTCCTCCTCCGAAAAGAAGCCCAGCAGGTTCAAGTTTCTAATGACCTACATGTTTGGACAGTGTTGTGCTAGTGCTCAACGTGAGCACGACATGCAAGAGAGGCTATATCGATTGGAACAGCAAGCAGGAATTGTATCTTCTCCTCCACTGCCATTTGTGCCTCCTCGTGATCCGTTGGATTTATATGATGAGGCTTGTGCGGCGTCTGACGATGATGCTTCTTCTCGCCCCCCATGGCAAGGGAAAGCAATCAAGACGATGAGGAATATCAAGAGGAAGAAGATGATGAAGATGACGACGATGGTGAGGAAGGTGACCAAGGAGATGATGATGACTCAATGATGAGTAGTTGGTTTCTCATGCGGCCTACCCTTTTGGCACTTGTTGACAAAGGGGAGTGTTAGGCTTTGATTTATTGTAATAAGTTAGTTGGTCTTTTGTTTTGGAACTTTAAATCCTTTAGCGTGTATGAACTATGTCGTGTGGTGGCAACCGTGTGATGGACAACTATCTATTTATGAGTGTGATGGATGATTGTAGGATAAGCTATGTTTTAATCTATCTTATTTGGTTGTGCTTATCTCTACTTGTCATGATGAATGTTTTTGTATGGCCATGTGTTACTTAAAGTTTCTACTTTGAAATCTTGGCCATCATTTTTTTTCTCATGTTGTGTGAAATAACATGTCATATTGCATCTCTTTTCACCGATACTTATTTGTTCACACATACTTGTTGCACCCCACGGATTGCAAAATTTAGGGGGAGCTTTTGTCTTGGTGTATGCAAATCATGTATACATGATTCCAATTGAAATTCAAATTCATGCATACATCAAGGGGGAGCTCTCCATAAATTTTGGGGTTCAAAAGTTTTAAAATCTTTCATTCTTATAAAAGCCTAAGTTGGTTGTCATCAATTACCAAAAAGGGGAAGATTGAAAGTGCATTTGCCCCCTATGTGGGTTTTGGTGTATTGATGACATCCAAATTAGAGACTAATGTGATCTTAATGAGATATGTTGCAGCTATTAGTCCCATGAAAGATTCAAAGAGTTGATAAAGATGAAATGGTATCCCTCAATTCTTGAAGTTGTAAAGGCGCACGAACTCAAAACTATCTCCAAAGGGTTTAATTTTGTTTTTTAGTTTAGGATCCGCCGCACTATAAAGAGGAATGCAAGTTTAGTTGGTCTGAGGAAGATAGAGTGCTCAAGCATTTAAATAAAATCAAAAGAGAGTCACTCTAGCACTTCACGCGCACTTAGAATAATTTCCTGTGTCTTTCAGTGTCGGAAGTCCCGATGTAAGTCGGAACTTCCGACAGTCGGAAGTCCCGACCTAAGCCAGGAGTCCCGGCACCTGTGCTTCTGACTGCTCGCTGTCTGTGCTCGTCGGAAGTCCCGACGTTCGTCGGGAGTTCCGACAGTCGGAAGTCCCGACGTTCGTCGGGAGTTCCGACACTGACTTTCACCCGTGGACTTCTGACCCGTTGTGAACAGTATTTTATGTTGATGTCGGAAGTCCCGGGATTTGCGTCGGGACTTCCGACGTAGATCTAAACGGTTGGATTTTCACTTGGAGTATAAATACTCCTCTCTTCACTTCTAACAGCAGCGACTCATTTCACAGCGGACTAGCTTCGAACTCAACAGCTCCCAAGCAACCAGAGCACCCCTCTCCTTCTCCCTTTGCTCGAATCTTCGATTCTCTTAGAGTTTGAGTGAAAGGAGAGTGGATTTCGTAAGAGCATCATGTTGGAAAGCTTGAGCACTTGATTTCTTCGTCAAGCCGACTGATTTTGCGTCTATTACTCTTGGGGCTTTGCCCCTAGATGGCTAGGCGTTGCCCTAGAGCTTCCATCTTGTGGAAGATCCTTGGGAAGTTTGTATCACCCTTCGATTTCTTAGTGGAAAGCTCAAGAGACCTTTGTGGTCGCCTTGAGAGAGGCAAGGAGGTGGAAAAGACTCCGACCTTGGTGGTCACCTCAACAACGAGGACGTAGGAGCTCCTTAGTGGGGTTGCTGAACCTCAGGATAAATCCTTATCCCGTGTGCTTGTTGTTGTGATTGCTAGAGATTATTTGTATATGTTTGTCTCTTTCCCTCCCAAACTTGCATTTTAGGGTTTGGACTCGATCTACGGTTTGGAGGCACTACGGCGTCAAGGAGTGACCTAACATCTTCACCAAACCACTAGGAAGTGAGGTTGTAAGTTTATTTATCCGTAAAGTTAAATTTGGCACTGCTTTTGTAGTTCACGTAGGCGTCGGAATTGCTGACGTTTGCGCCGAAACTTCTAACAACGTCGGAAGTTCCAACCCAAACGTCAGGACTTCCGACTGTGACTGACAGAATTGAACTTAGCATTTGCAGTAAATTTTTAGATACGCCTATTCACCCCCCTCTAGGCATTGTTAAATCCTATCAAGGGGGTAGAATTGTAACACCCCAAAATTTGCCTCTTTTGAAAATAGGTTTAAAATGATTTATTTGTGAATTTATGTGCACATGAAATATAGGAAAATAAAATTTTTCATTAAATTAAAATTCATCATAAGCTAGCAACATGTTTGAACATACATGCCCTTGCATTTGATTTATTTGGTTGAGTGGTTTTGATTGAAAACTTCAAATGGTTTAAATTGCTTTTGCAAATGAAATTAAAAATGGCTTTGAAGTAAAAGAAAATTTGAAAATAAAGGAATTTTTAAAGTTGTAAATTTTATTTTTGAGAACTTATCAAAATTTCTTATTTTTAATTAAGTTGAAAAGTGTATTTGAAATTCTATTCAAATTTGGTTAGGTTTATATTTGAATTGGATTTGAACTAAGAAAATAAATAGAAAAGGAAAAGAAAACCTCTCTCTCTCTTGCTTTCTATTTTTGCCCAGCCTGCTCTTTGGCCCGGCCTAGCTTCCACTCCCCACCGACCCTCCTCCCTTGGGCCGACGGCCTGCTAGGCCTGCTCCCTCCCTCTCTCAACTTTTCCCCGCGTAGGCCCACAGTTTCTCCTTCTCTGTTTTCCCCGCGTGGGTCGAGTCAGCTCGAATGTTTTTTCCCCGCGCAGAGCCGGCTCTCTCTTTCCCCGCTTCTCCGGGTAGCCCAGCGGCGCTGCCCCGCGCGCCAGCCCAATCCGCACGGACGCCGCACACTCTCCTTTCTTCCTCTGTCACTAACCGCCCGGGCCCCCCATCAGCTCCGCCTCCTACCTCAGTCCATCACCGAGCCGGACTCTACCGCCGCTGCCATGGACTCCGTGTCCGCGCCGCCCCTGATTCCTTCCCTGTCGTGCGAGCTACGCCAGGACGTCCCATAAATAGCGATCCTCCGCGCCCCTTCCGTCCACCCCACCGAGCCTAGCGCAGCCGCCATGCCGCCTGTGCCTTAGCTCCGCTGAGAAGACAACACATGCAACACAAGCAATGAACATGTTCATCTTCAACATCAGTTTCTCCAGCTTGTGCTCCTATTCCTTCCTCTGCTTGTCACCATATGGACTCCCCACTGAAGCTTCTTCTTCCACCACCTCTGCCCAGTTCGATGGCTGAACAATGACGATGTTGAGATCCTTCATCTGCTGGAAGTACTGCTTCTCGAATCGATAGTACCCACACAACTTAGGGAACTAAAAAAGGACACAAATTACAACCCTAACTGTGCTAATTTAGGAAGATCCAGGAGACAACTCACCCCATTCCTTGCACACTTGAAGTACAGACAACCATGATTCTCATTGCCCTTCTTGGTCCGCTCTTCCACCACTCGAGCAAGATGGCAATCCGGGCAAGGGATCAACGGGAAACCGCTGAGCTCACCAATGGGATCGAGACCGACCAAGACAATGTGGGTGCTCGGGCCACCGTGAAGCCTGCTCCTCGCCCGTCCACCTCCAGACGACTCCGAGTAATGCTCCATCGAGAAAGTTGGGAGAGGAAGGAGGGAGAGGAAGGCGGCGGCGGCGGCGAATGGCGGCGGCGGCGGCGGAGGGCTATGGCGAGAGCGGGGAGACGAAGAACGAGCAAATGGGCCGGGCGAGGCGACTGAGTGCGGCCCGGCTAGGTTAGCAGCAGAGGGCAGGGGCAGCCGCGGTCATTTGCCACCCTCATGCTGCCTCGGATCCGACCTGGACTGACACGCTGGCGTGCCACGAGTGCAAAAGTGACAATTCTGTATCTCTTCTCTCCGTTGCGTGCCAAATTCGTATTGCCAGCCGTTAAAGTGAGATCTCAGGAGGTGCCGATTCTTATAATGGTAAAAAGTTAAATCTCCCGGGAAGAAGGGGTGCGGATGCGGCGGGAGCGGGGCCGGGCGCTTTGGCGGTTTCTTTGCACGCGATAATCTCGGGCGGGTATGCGGGTGGGTAACAAGACTCTTCGGTGAAAAAAGTTAGGAGCGGAGGGGAGATCGACAACGGGAAAAAAAAGTGTTTTGTCACATCGTCGTTCTCATTCTTGGGTCCGCTTGTCAGATCTGTATCCAGCGAGCGTTAGATGTAAAATCAAAACACATCTAATATGGAGGAGATCTTAACGGTATAGAGTTTTTAGGTAACGGGTATTTTCCAATTTCTTTGCTCTTTATAGCCGATAGAATATGAATATGTCGATTGTGTGTAGAGCCTGAAGGCCAGGAGAGACTGCAGGGAACACCTGCTTCCCTCCCCTAGAACCCCAGCTCTGCCCCGCGGTAAATCCGTGATCCTGAAGACCTGAACCAGATTACTGTACTTGTCCTCCAACTCGATGCTCTGCTGTTCTCCCGTTTACTGCCATTCAACCACACCACATCCTTGTAAGAAACTGTCTGATGCGTTCAAGTGGGCGAGCCACAGCTGCCGCAGCTCCGGGAACGCGACCTCCAGCCATGGCTTCCGTGGCCCACTGAAGTGCAGGACGGCGGAGAACCGCACAAGGTCGGGGTGCGGCACGCGCCAACCGAGGCCCGGCAGGTTCCACAGCGGCTCGATCGCCTGAACGCGCCCGTCGAACGCGATCAGGGCCGGCGGCAGCGAGGCCATCTGCCACAGCCTGAAGCCCGACTCCCGGTTCTGCACATGACGCAACGAGGTGTCAGAGCCGCTGGCAGCGAGGCCATCATCTGCCACGAACTGCTTGCTCCTGGCACGATAAATGGTCAGAGTTCAGGACAAGGAGCTTGCCTTTTGTAGCCAGAACTGGTATGTCTCGGTAACGTTCGTTCGTCGCCACGCGTCGAGGTCGACGATGTTGACGCCCCACGACCACGCGCATTGCGAGCTATGTAGGCCGGACACGTCGGGGTCCGAGAAATTCAGGTGGTCGCCAAAGGTCTTGTCGACGCAGACGCCGCTGCCTTTGTGAGCGCCGACCGCGCCGATGATGTTCCCGTCAAGGTCCTGCTCCCACAGCCCGGCCAAGTCCTTGCGTACCACGACGTCGTCGTCCAGAAGCATCACCCTACCAAGCTCAGGGAAGAACTGCTCGAGCAAACAAGCCAGAGGCCAATGTTAGCACAGAGGGACATGCACATCTTCATTCATCAAAGGGTGACCATGCATGCATCCGTCCATTTTACCTCCGGGAGATGGATCTTGAGATAGTTGAGGAGCGAGAACGTGCTCGGTCTGGATGCTTCGAGCTGTCTGTGCTCCCTCTCCGCCGATCCATCACACTGGTGATACTCCAGCGAGCTCCTCTGGACCTCCTCGACCGTCCTCATGACGGAGGCGACGACGCCGGCGTCGCGCCAGTCAAACTGGTGGAGGCCCCTGACCTCGACTACCGCGGGCGACACCGGGTGCAGCGCGAACCACGAGTGCATGGGCACGTAGCTCTTCTTGTCCGTGACCACGTGGAACACCAGCCTGGCAGGGTCGGCGGCGCTCCGCGCGGCGGAGGCCACCGCGACGGCGGCCGCGAGCACGTTGTCGGTCACGAGCGCGACGTGGAGGCACGACGCGTCGGTCAGGCGTGGGGCGTGCTCCGGCGGCGGCACCGGGGAGCGCGCCGCGGAGTTCACCGCGAACTCCTCGGCGAGCCGAAGGGCGAGGCAGTGCACGCTCTTGGGGATGCCCAGCGACGCCAGGTGCCGGTTGAACACAGCCCGGATCCTTGATGACTTTACCTTCCGATCCATCTTCAGCAGCTGGGGAAAAGTATTTGTTTCCAAGAGTTAAACCAGTAATAAAGTTTTTAAGTAGACACATAATCTTTGTAATGCAAGAATTCTAGGAAACTACACGAGAAAAGGGTTTCCTTGGTAATTCTTAATATCTCCGTTCTAATTTATATGTCGTTTTGGTTTTTCTAGTTTTACTATGTATCTAACAAAACAAAAATAATTTATAATTTGGCAGAGAGTGGTATAAAGAAAGCAGTCGTGTCCTGCTAATTTGTTAAAGAAGGTAATGAGGCACTGATCCTACGACTACGACAAACCCCAGCGTGCAAGAAGACCATACGGTCACAGGCTGGCATGTCTGAACAATTGCCGGTTGGTATGTTTGACAATTCGATAATCATGATCAAGGTAAACAATGTACACCGCCAACACCGGTACACCATACGTTTCAGTCAAGTCTAGACTAGAGAATGCGCAAAAAGGCAGAGACCATGCATAATGCGGCCTTTCGCCATGGAAAGCTGAAAGCACTTACTTGAGCTAAGGTTGTAGTAACATGCAAGCATGATGCCAGGTTATCAAAGCTGAGTGAAGATTAGTAAAGGCCATAACGGAGAATATACCGCGTACCATGGCCATCATCTTGATCGCCACGGCTTCCATGTCAATCCGGTCGTAGGACGCCAGCATGGTGGCCATCTCCGCCATGAGCGCGTCCAGGGAGTCCGGCGCCGCTCCCACCACCACAGGGTCCAGCAGGGTGGCTTCCCTGTGACGCCTCCATTCCTTCATAAATTCCTGGCCATTCCACAGGTACAGACATACAGTGGTACACGTGAGTATCCCATCCGTGTACCACGCAGTACACGGGCAGTACAGATATACCATCAAAGGAATTTCTTTGGATGAAGAAACAAAAAATAGATAAGCCAAGTAGTATTAAGTACTAGTACTAGCAGCTTATGGACATGGAAACAAACGTTATTCGGCACGATCTAGACTGGCAGAAAGAAAAATCACAAGGGGATGCATGGTTGCATGGATGGCTCACGGACCACAAAACCACGACCGCTGCAGGATCCACGTTCCACGTAGCTCCAAACGCAAGGCCCCATCATCCGAGCTGGATCGCACAGCGCGTCCTAGAGAGAAGGGGAATCCTAGCGAGTAGCGAGCAAGTCACAGGGCTCAGGGCTGCCTGCCTTGGGTTTCCGTAGCGGTTGGCAACACACACAATGACACAACGCCCGATCCAAGCCACCAACTCGTAGGGTCCGCGCAGCGATGCGGCAGTGCAGGTGCAGGTCACACGAATCTATCTATACTTGTAGTCCCGATCCGATCCGCAAAGAATCGCGCCCGGACCTCGTCAAATTAGGCAGTTTTTTGTGCACAACTTGACTAAGAAGTACTAGGACTAGTTCTTGACTATTTCTATACATGCCTAATTAGCTTTCCAAACGGAAAGAACAGTGCGCGTTTAGCTTCTTGTGAGGCCTACTTTTGCATTGTATTGTACAGTCTACTATATACGGCTGAATCCAGTTAGACTTTGGGTTGCAAATGGATTGGTTACCATGAGCGCGCAGGCGCAGCCGCGTGCGTGCGGCGTCGCCCATCCTCTGCTTTTGCCCTCCCCCCCGCCGCGGCGCAGCGCAGGACGTAAAAAATTGGTCAAGAAACCGGCGCCTAACGCAAATTTGGTGCTGCGCCAGCCTAACCTAACGCAAATTTGGTGCTGCGCGAGCCTAACGCAAGGAGGCGGCAATGTCGGACTCAGACTCACCTCCGTCGCGTCGCCGCCGTCGCCGTAGAGCCAGCGCCCCAGCCCCGCCCGCCAGTCCAGGCACCCTGAAGCATGACGAGAGCAAGAGTGACAAAGAGTTCCATGGACCATCAAACGGCACGCACGTTGTGCAAGTACAGCAGTTACCGGTCGTGGAAGGGCAGAGGGAGGCGCCGGCCTCGATGGCGAGGAGCGCGGCGCGGAAGAGGAGCAGACCGGCGAGGAGCCCCGTGATGGCAGCCGAGCGGCACCCGCGCCGCGCCGCTTGCTGCTTCTGGGGCTGTGGCTGCGCCACCTTGGGCTTCGTCGCGTCGTCGGCGCCCGCGGTTGCCGTCGCCGTCGCCGTGATGTACACCCTCATTGCCGGCGTTGAGACGGCTCGCTCTACGCGAGGCTGCCTTCGGCGGACTGGCTGTCGTCGCCGCCGCTCATCAACTTACTGAGCAGAGCTATGGACTGAACCCGAGCTCCCGCTCAAGGCTCAAGTAACGACGCGCTGGCACAGCGCAGGCCAGGATGGAGGCTCGCAGTCGCAGCAAGCTAAACTGCCGCGGCGCGCGGGTGCGGAGGTGGGAACGCGGGGCAGGGGAGAAGGAAAACAGGGCGGCGGTGCGGGTTCGCGCGCGGGGCGGGGAGTCACAAGGAAGGAAAGGACCAGCCGCGAGTTGGGAGTGGGCACTGGGCGATCGAGGTGGCGAAACAAGAGAGAGTGGCGAGGCGAAGGCGAAGGCCGCCGGGCCGCTGTTGCTGTTTGCGAATCTGGAATTCTGCTGAGCAGGGGCCCGGGGCGAATGGGCCATGGGTTTTGCCGGATTTGACCCCCCGGAAAGCGACCTCGACTGCGCGAGAGCTGGGAGCTGAGCAGACCACCGACAGAAACCCGAGGGTGATATGCCCGGCGCGGCGGGCGGCGGGCGGCGGGCGGCGGGCGGCGGGCCTACCCCAAGTTGACGACGACGCTGCCTCGTGGGACAGACGCATGGCCATCGCTGTCCCGTCCGTTCCCATGGCTTATCCGGTGGTGCAGTGCCGCGTCTCGCTGTCCCAGTCTCCCGCGAGATGAGATCGATGGGTATAGCTTTCGCATTAGCTTCCCTGTCTGGCTAAACGTACGAAATCGCCATGTGACATTGCGACGACGGTGTCTGGACTGCTCCGGTTCGCTTGTTTGAACGCTACGCATTGCCAGCGTGGAGGTGGTGGCCACTGGCCAATCGGAGTTAATGATGCCGGCACACAGAGAGTGAGCAGAGTTATCAGTTATTAGTTATTACTACACGCAGATTGCATAGGCAGAGACCGGACAGGCACTTGGGCTGGTATCAGCAGATCTGGCATGGATTTACGACTTCTCGCCATTCACACCATGACCGGGCACTGAAACAACGAACCAGATGGATGCTGCTGCCGATACCGGTTCCTGACTGTGTCCCTGGTTCACCGCTTGACAAAGGGTAAACACTAGTATTACAAATCGGTGAACTGAAAATGGTGCGATACATGACGCACGTACTAGAGCAGGACGAACGACGGACCCCGCCACCACAACTTGTTTCTGCCCCGGCCGGTAGAAGTACTCCGTAGACTGTAGTGGTAGTAAACGCCATTTCAGTGCTGCCGTAGTACGTGCGAGATCTATCGGTACCGGCTGCCGGTCCTTGTCCTTGGACCTACCTGACTTTGTCGCGTGCCCGTTGGTGGTCACGGTTGGTCCCTGCGGTGCTTTTGAAGTTTATTAGATGCATCATATCTCCTCGCCTCAAGTTTACTGCTACTCTTGGTTCTCACTCCAACCTGAATTCAGTTGGGACGTGTGATAGCCATTGGTTTTTTAATTTGAATTGAATTATAAAAGGATTTTCATTAAGACGATAACAGAGTTACAAGGATGGGAAGCTCGCAAGTGCAGTTGGCCAGAAGTTCCGAGTTGTAACGTTCACTTCAGCCTGGATACCTTTTACCGGGGACCCATACCGTGCAATACCCAGGTCGCGGCAATCTGTAGTGGCGTGGCGCATGCTTTTACCGATCCCCACCGAGGCACCTGACTGATCTCACTAAGATAACGGTGACGTCGTGACGACCTGGGGACGTCATCGGGGCTGAGGGGCAATCGAGTATGGACAAACAAACAGACGGGAGGGCAATCGTGTCTGTCTAATAAACTGGGTTCATTGCTTGAACGGTGTCAGTAAAAACTTTTCTGAGCAGAGTTTGTACTCCAATCCTGCCTAACAGTGATCTCGAGTGAGTAGCTCCATCTAACCGACGTATACGCTCACTAGTCACACTACTATACTGTCCATGGGTTGGTTCTGTTTCCTGTTAGGATGGTAAAGCAGGAAGTCAAGGAGGCAGGGTACGTATGTGCTCGCTCTAGACTGCATTCAATTGGTCTACCGAACAGCGAGATTCATTGGCACGGGCAAGCAAAGTAATTCCGGCCCATTCAGCGTCCTTTTTTTTAACCGGAGATTCCGGTAATGTCTGCTTGGGGATCCCCTACATTCATTCTGTGGTTTAAGAAAGGAGTTTAAAATTTTATATAAGGAGAAGTGGAGAACTAATCTGATCAGCTGGCATGTTGTTGAATTGTTCCTTTCAGCACTAAGAAGTAGAGAACAATTCATTCTGTGGTTAAAGAAAGGAGTTTGAAATTTGGTGCCTGCTCTGCTCTGCTTAGTGGCGTGTTGTCTCAGAGCACTCGCATTATCTACCTGCTCCACAACCTGGTTCAGTTTTTCCATCCATGGCACATAAAATGGGAGATGACGATGCATGAAACACAGATGAAAGACAACAGAAGAAATCCTTTTGACGTGTTATTAGTGCAATTCGATCTGTCGGAACCATGGTGAGAATGCCCTCCCATTTCACAGTGGCATGATTTGTGGATATGGATACTTTGGTCTTTCTTGCGGAGCATGCCTCACGAAATAAAAGGAAGAAACCTATTTTTGGCCATTGAATTTTTGCCGAGTTCGATGGTTATAGACTTCTTCTCAAAATAGAAGTGATGCGATTTGGTCTCCTGCCTTCTCAGGTCTGAATTCTGTGAAGACAGGATAGCTGCAGGTCTCTTGTTTGTTACTACTGCCTTGACTCAGGAGTCAACAGCGAAACTTTTTGTAAAAGCTGATGGGAACGCAAGCAGGCGATGATCTGCAACAAGGAATGGCATTATTGTGCATCCATTTTGGCATTCGACAGCAAAGTTCTACGGAATGTCAAACGTGAAGTGGCACATGCCTGCCTGCGGCAGCTTTCACGCATTGGTTGCAGGCGATACGGTAGTTGCCCAGCAGCTTTCACATGGCGAGATGGATATATGGATCAAAGCTGTCTAGCTTTTCTTGATGTGAGGTGGTAAGGGCTTGTTTAGTTTATTCCTCTAAAGTTTACTTCCTATCTCATCGAATGTTTGACACATGGAGTATTAAATATAGACTAAAAAATAACTAATTGCACAATTTGCGAGACGAATATTTTAAGACTAATTAGGCCATGATTTGACAATGTTGTGCTACAATAACATATGTGCTAATGACGGATTAATTAGGCTTAATAATTTTGTCTCACGGATTACTGGCAGATTCTGTAATTTGTTTTTTTATTAATATCAAACACCCCATACGACACCCTCACGTGACACCGGATATAACACTTATATTTAAAGAAGGCCTAAGTTAAATCGCCGCGTACCCCCCTAATCTGCAGATGTTGATCTGCACGATCATCTGCAATGACGAAGATGTTTACTTGGTCAATTCCTCGGGAAGCTGCATGTCCCAAAGGTGGGTTTTCAGGGGCTAGTGGATGGCCAACGAGAACCTTTTTTTTTCCGTCTCTGGATGTGCTAGACAAGAAGACAAAGGCGCAGAGCTCTCCGTGGAACAGGGAAAAAAGTGTGCCATTGTATGGTGCAGCGGCAGCAGAAGCCGGCCAAATCTTGGTCCGTGACATGTTCTTTCAGGGTTTCACCCAAGAAATTTGAGGCAGAGAGCATGGCTGATTGATACTGCATGCATTTTTTTTAATACGCAAGAGCATTGCGTATCGAATACGTGCATTGAAGTGGTTTCATGTTTTTAACACCAACACAACAATCACGTCATTTTTTTTCATGAACGATGGCTCATGACGTTGATTTTTTTGTTTTTTTTAAGGAAAATTCATGGCGTTGATCATTGACTTCAGTGGTAACTTTTGGAGATGCTCGCGAAAAGAGCAGAAGGAAATGGAATGAGAGAATAGTTCAGAGACGCACGGTGAACTGGTGAAGTGGAGTAAGGCCCAAGCCCAACGGGCTGAATATAGTGGAATACACCCTAACCTGGAACTATTTGGGCTTAGGCTAATAGGCTTTATGGATAAATTCCATAAAGCAATGACCACTACGCCACAAAAAGTCCACATTACCTCCCTCAACTTTTGCGAAAATCTGTTTTTTCTCTCTGAACTCTAAAACGGGTAAATCATCTCCTTGAACTTAAAACCGTTCGTTTTACCTCCCTGAACGGTTATAAACGATTTTCAAAGACGGTTTTGTATTTTTCTTTTTTTATTTATTTCGGCTAAATCTTTGGAAAATCATAGTAAATTATAGAAAAATCATAAAATAGAAAATCCAATTTTGTTGGACTGCACATGAGTAGATCTACGCAGCGTATATATAATATGGTATGCTTTAGTACAAGTTTTTTTTGCTGTAGCTTTAGATCTATGTTTTTCTATAATTAATTCATAGCTGCAGTTCTATAGTCCAATTGTGGTGAAATTTTTATGGTGGGCTAATTATTGTATGCTCAATGAGTATGAAATTTTTACGACAGTTCAAGCATACAATAATTAGCCCACCATAAAAAATTCACCACAATTAGACCATAGAAACTGCAGCTATGAATTAATTATAGAAAAACATAGATCTAAAGCTACAGCAAAAAACTTGTACTAAAGCATACCATATTAAATATTCACTGTGTAGATCTACTCATGTGGAGTAAAAAAATTAGATTTTCCATTTTATGATTTTTCAGTGATTTACTATGATTTCAAAGATTCAGCCATAATAAATAAAAAAGAAAAAGACAAAACCGCCTTTGAATACCGCTTATAACCGGTCAGGGAGGAAAAACGAATGATTTTTAAAAGTTCAGGAATGTGGTTTACTCGGTTTTAGAATTCAGAGAGGAAAAACAGACTTTCACAAAAGTTGAGGGAGGTAACGTGTTTTTTCCCGCCTATTTAGACACATAAGGTTCCGAAGGTCTGTAAAGACCCGTGGCCTGGTAGCGTCAGGGGAACGTGGCCCAAATACCTGGCACTGCCATCATGGGTTGCAATTTGGATGCTAAGTTCTTGGGTTAGCTTAATTGGTGGGCTACTCTGAGTCACAAATAGTATCGGATCACGAAACTCGTGCCCTAACTCTCTCACTCGTTCTTTCCCCTCTCTACAGTGCTCAGAGGCGAACAACGGGCGATTTCTCGATCCCGACTTGTTCCTCACCGGATCTCTCGCCTCTGTCCGCGTCTCCGGCGTCGGAAGGTGAGGGATTTGGTTGAGGGCAGGTGCGGTTGTCTATTACTACTAATTATATGTTATAGTTTGAGTAGTTTAGGGTTACCTTCGACGGTATCCATGCGACGCCATCTGAAGTCTTCGGTCCTCCATGGCGGTGCTGATGATGGTGGCGATGGCTCCCTGATCTCTGCAGCCTGGAGGTTAATAAGGTGTGAGCTCATCGGATCTGGAGTTCTGGTGGGTGCTCTAGATCTCGTCAGGTTATCCTTTTGTCCCTCCCTCGTTTCTATCGGCGCCGGCACTGATGATGGACTCTCCGGTGGAAATCTTGGAAGGTATGTCTACCAACTTGTGGAACTAGGTTGGCTTTTAGCTCCCACCTCTTCTGGTGGTTTGCTTCTGGGTGTATCGTCTTCCAGCGAGCCGGGGTTGTTAGTAGATGAGGCGCCAGATTCCTTGTTCTCTGGCGATGTGGTGGCCGTTGGCCATCTGGCTCAGCCTGAACGCTCAACAATTACAAGCATGTCGGTGTTTCCGATGTGCTACACTTGGTGGCATTGAAAACCTCTGATGTTCCTTCGTCGGGAAGGTGGTCGGCTTCAAGGCTCCTGCTCCGACCGTCGACGAGGACGACCGGGAGAATCTTGCAACGACTTGGATGTATTTTTCTTTTATTTCGAGGGTGTCTTTGTAAGACTTGGGACGTAAACTATCAGAAATATATGTGAAATATAAACCCGGTTTCTAAAAAAACGAAAATTTCATTAGTTTCCTAAAAGAAAAACGAAAATTTCATTAGTCCTGGCTCCTTGCAAAGGTGTTCATTGTGCCGTTGCGAAGTCTATTTCACTGAATCAACCTCGGTAACAGTTTCCGCTTGATTATGTCTGCAGTACTGGTTTAGGGGTTACATCAGAAAATTAAGAGACAGTTGGAACCGTGGAACTGGAAGACTAAGGCCCGGTTCGGTTGAACCGGCGGTTCCGGGCCCGGAAATCTTCCGCCCGAGTACAAATTTGTGAAAGACTTGTGCGGCTGGAAATTATTCTGATACAACCGAACAGGACCTAAAAGAAGCCTGCATACTCTCATTCTGCAGACAAATTGAAAGATCGCAACTTAGCAACAGATCCTACTCCCATCAACTTTAGACCACATTTTGCACACCTAATACAAGACAAGATAGAGGCAAAGAGGTACTAATAACTTCAACCCCATCATCAAACACGTACGTGCAGATCCTAACCAACCCCTCCATGCTCGCGAGTCGCGACGCACTAGCTGCACTGCAGTGCATGCCTACGGAACATACATAACATACGGTGGCCGCCGCCTCTAGCTAGTTCTGCTTGACGTGTCCCTCGTTTGCTTTCTTGAAGAGCTGCGCCTGTGCCGCCGCGGCGACGTCATCGCTGGAGCTGAGCGCGGCGCCGAACGCGTCCTTCACCTCCTGCGTCGTGAAGGGAACCTGTTGTTCACCATGGAGTTGAGCAGCGACGCCGTGCCCTCGCGGAAGAGCGCGCCCACGCCGTCCTGGCGCGTGTTCGCCAGCGCCTCCGGCACGGTCAGGTCGTGCCCGAACGGCACCGCCGCGCTCGGGCCGAACAGCCGCACCAGCGGGCACCAGAAGCCGAACAGGCCCCACACCACGCCCGGGTGCATTATCCAGTAGCTGCAAATTAAGCCAGAAAATACGAGCGACACATACGTTAGGGTTTGTGTGAGCCGGCAGTACTCTGAGCGAGGGTTTTGGGGGTTACGTACGTGCACGGGCCCGTGAAGGGCGGCGTGTTGGGGTCGTAGGGCGTCGGGGTAGTCGGTGTTGGCGTCAGCGGGGAGAACGGCGGCGATGTGCTGATAGGCGGTAACGGCGCATCTGGTGTCGGCGTGTACCCGCCGCCGCCGCTGCCAGGCGTGGTCGGGGAGGTGTCAGAGGACGGCGAAGGGGGCCATAGTAGCTGCCGCCACCGCCAGGCGTCGTGGGGAAGTGTCACTTGACGGCGAGGGAGGTCCGTAGTAGCCGCCGCCAGGCGTCGTGGGGGAAGTGTCACTGGACGGCGAGGGAGGGCCGTAGTAACCGCCACCGCCGCCAGGAGTGGTCGGTGAAGTGTCACTGGACGGCGTGGGAGGGCCGTAGTAGCCGCCACCGCTGCCTGGGGTGGTCGGCGAGGTGTCACTGGACGGCGATGGAGGTCCGTCGTAGCCGGCGCCGACGGCGTGGTCGGAGAGGTGTCAGAAGACGGCGAAGGGGGCCATAGTACCCGCCGCCACCGGGCGTGGTCGGGGAGGTGTCAGAGGACGGCGAAGGGGGGCCGTAGTACCCACCACCACCTCCAGGCGTCGTCGGGGAGGTGCCATAGGACGGCGAAGGAGGAGCACTGTACCCTCCACCACCGCCGCCGGGCGTCGTCGGGGAGGTGTCAGAGGACGGCGAGGGGGGACCGTAGTACCCACCACCACCCACAGGCGTCGATGGAGAGGTGTCACTGGACGGCGAAGGGGGCCCGTAGTACCCACCACCACCTCCAGGCGTCGATGGGGAGGTGTCACTGGACGGCGAAGGGGGAGCACTGTACCCGCCACCACCACCACCGGGCGTCGTCGGGGAGGTGCCAGAGGACGGCGAAGGAGGACCGTAGTACCCACCACCACCACCACCGGGCGTAGTCGGGGAGGTGTCACTGGACGGTGACGGGGGAGCATTGTACCCGCCGCCACCGCCTGGAGTTGTCGGTGCGGTCGGGGAAGTGCCGATGTCCGGCGAAGGCGGGTAATAGCCGCCGCCGCCGCCACCGCCAGGTGTGGTAGGCGTGGTCGGCGAGCAGGGCGGAGTCCCGTGTGAGCCTGCAAGGAAAGAACAGAACACACAATACAGGACAGGTTTTACTTCGTGTCAGTTGAGAACCCCATAAGATAAGACCGAAGAAACTGGAAGCCGTGGGTCTCGAACCGGGAGAATGGTGCGGGTCGGCGGGGTTCTTCCGGCCGCCGAAAGGCTCGCCCTCGCCGAGAACGCGCGCTGCCGCCGCGTACGCCAGCAGCAGGCAGCAGCACACGAGCACAAGAGCTGGCCTAGCCATCTCCACACCACACTCCTTGCAAGGAGGCAATGGGCTAGCTTTCGTAGCTGCTGAAGCTTGCTGGAGCTTTCCAGGTAGTGAGTCCTGAGTCCTGACTCGCTACTGGTGTCTACTATATAACAGCTCGCGCCTTCTCGTTCGCATAAAAAATCTGCATTATGCACAGGGCAAAGCATGGTGCACCTGTTGCAGCAAATAAATGCATTGAAAGACTGACACTCCGAGAGGGCAAAAGAGTCCGGCCGAGGTAGCTGGTGAACACCGCGCAGTTCACTGAAATGGAAATGGGCCGTAACGCCACGCCTTGACGGGCCTTCACCGTCGTAACATCCTTTCACTACCGTGACCCAGTTCAGAGTTGTTCGCACCGGTTGACGCGCCACGAGCGTACGCCATGCACTGCTGCGGAACTCTCTACCACTACCACCAGCTACTCCGGTATGCACCATGGTCGACGGCCATGTGCAGGTGGTGCCGTCGTGTCGTCGTCGCCGCGCCGAGCGCGTGCACGCGGCGCGACGAGGGCGTGCGTACATGCATGCATGCGTGCCTCGCTCTCGCCCTGCAACGCGACGCGCGCAGGTGTGGCGTTAATGGCCGGTGCCCGGTCAGTTTGCAGTCTCCTCCTTGAATGCAGGCTAGCTACTGCGATAGTTCAGGAATTTACTCTCACTCAGCTACCATCGCTGTGGCTCTCCATGCGTGGGTGCAGTGCAGATCGGCGTGGCATCAGGGCGGCAACAGATGCAGAGCTAGCCATCTGTGACGCGTGCGCGTCGGCGTGCAAGAGCGACACGGATATGGCACTTGTCATTGATGTATCAACATGTACGAGCTCGACTGGAATCAGAGGGAGAAATCAATGGCGCGCGCCAGAGGTTGTTTCTCGAACTGTTTGTACGTGGGCATGGACTTCAACCACCCACCTATCCAAGGCCTTGTTTAGTTCACTTCAAAGTTCCAAGTTTTTTCACTCTCTTTTCATCACATCAATTTTTGGACGTTTACATGGAGCATTAAATGTAGGTAAAAAAAATAACTAATTACACAGTTTAGTTAGAAATCACGAGATGAATCTTTTGAGCCTAGTTGGTCCACGATTGGACAAAGTTTGCCAAATAAGACGAAAATGGTACTATTCATCGGGTTAAAAAAATTTTCAATCTAAACGAGGCCCAAAGGAAACTAGTCTTTCAAGTAGTGCAGAGTACAGACGTACAGTAGGTACTTGGAGCCAGCTGTGTGAGCATCTGGCACAGTGGCTGTGCCAATTGATCGGATCGAAATGCCTCTTCTGGTGACTGGTGGTCGTCTGCCTTTGGATGCAACCAGAATGGAAGTGGTCTGCCTTTGGATGCAACCAGAATCGGATCGAAATGCCTCTTCTGCATGTTCAGGAGTATCAGGACGTGGTCGAGAGGTTGTTTGGAAATTTTAAATTTTAAGATCTAACTATATACGTAGTCACGTAGAGCTCTAAATATTTTCAAAATGAAAAACTGCAAACTACAAAGTGTAGATCACATTGAGAATGAAAACTTTTGTGTAGACCATATCAACATCAGAGATAAGCCAACAGTTCTAGAATAAAATTTTGAATTTTGATAAAGTAAAATAAAGACTCTAAACGGTTTCAAAAGAAGAAAGAAACAATGTAGTTACGCCAAACTGAAACGAGGGCTCTCTTGTTCTTAAAGCGGTAGGCCCAGCCGTCAAGGCTGACTGCCAAAAAGGAAGATCAGAAGTTGAATGTTTTGAGGAGGCCCGTAGGATGTTTTGAGGAGTATCTCTTCGCTGATTGAAGATGGGCCCATTTCTGAAGTTCCACCCAGAAAAAAAAATCAAGCGAGTCACAAGGCCGACTGCCAAAAAGGAAGATCAAAAGTTGAAACAAAAAGTTAAAATGAGCTGACGTTCCTCAAAAAAAAAGTTAATTAAATTCTTTTATACGTCCAGGCTTGATTTTTCGACTTAGCCTAAGTATATAGTAGCATAAGTGTGGTGACTTCGCTTAAAACTGAGGTTTCAGAAAAAAGGAAACAATTTGAGCCACGATCATCTCACTGTTTGCAGCTTCGGTCTCTGAGCCATCCAAGCGTAATCTAACTCAAATCGAAACGGACAGGGCAACGCAACATCCATGCCTTTCCGCCCGAGTTCCACGGCAAGTTGTCTACTACAGCATGCATCCCGATCCAAGGAGCGGCAGACCTAGCACGCAAAGGTGCATCCCGTGGCAGCCTCGCTCCCTTCAACCTGGTCGGCCCCTATGATTGTTACGGCAAGCTCGCCTCCGTCCGACGCAAAGTGGCCATGCATGGCCAGTGGGCTAGACGAACAAAGCTGCTTCGTTGCTGCTAATTTCACCCCTGGCTGCCTGTTGTCAGACCTATAGGATCACAGGAGCATAGATCTAGCCGGGTACTTGCTGTTGAATAGAATTATGAATCCTAGAATATCTACTTGTGCAGTAACAGTAGGTAGAACGAGAGAAAGAGAGGGGTAGAAGGTGGACGTATCAAACCTGACAATGCAGTGGAGGAGGATCTGCTCGCGTCCGCCATGGAGTCGGTGTCTGCGCTAGGGCAGCGATGGTCGGTGAAGACGGCATCGGTGATGCACGGTGGCGACCAGCGGTGAGGGCAGTGGAGTCCGGTGATGCTGTCCGGAGGCGGCGCAGTGCTGTGGTGGCGGTGCTTCCCATCACTGGTTGCGTCCCTCACTAGATCGGGTTTAGGGTTTGTCGGTGGGGAGCTCGGCTCAGGCGAACCTCGTAACTTGAGCCGTCGGCCCCACCTTTATTTATTGCGCAGAGTAACAGGAGCCCTCCAGCCATAGTGGGCTAGGCGCCCCCGACCAGGATGCGGATCAAAGGCCCAACTGGGCCGTTGGGCCCAGTTTGAAATTAGAGATCAATCTAACCATCTCCCTCCTTGATCTCCTATCATCTTTCAATTTTATAGCATTTACTTTTGTTCATTCCATTACAGATTAGCGCATAGAGCATGTTTCATCGTCACGGTCAATTGCCGATAGATTTAACAGCTACAACACACCACTCTGTTCTGAAATAGATACTTATCTTTGGGCCTTTTTTGTCTAGAAATTATAGGCTTTCCCTTAAACCCCATACCGGCTACATGTTCTCTAAACACGTTGGGTGGTAAGCCTTTTGTAAGCGGATCCGCGAGCATCTTTTCGGTACTTATATGCTCAAGACTTATGGCATGATCCCGGACTTTATCTTTCACAACATAATACTTTATGTCAATGTGTTTGGCAGCACCACTTGACTTATTGTTGTGAGCATACTATACTGCTGAATTATTATCGCAGTATAACTTAAGTGGTCTATAGATGTCGTCAACCACCTTCAAACCGGGTATGAACTTCTTTATCCAGTTCACCTGTCCCGTTGCCTCATAACACGCTACAAACTCGGCATACATTGTGGACGATGTAGTGACGGTTTGCTTTGAGCTTTTTCATGAAATAGCTCCCCCGCGAGAGTGAATACATATCCAGACGTGCATTTTCTATCATCTCCCGCATAATCAGAATCTGAATATCCCACTATATGCAGTGAATCAAATCTTTTATATGTCATCATGAGGCCTTTCGTTCCTTGCAAATAACGCAAGACTTTCTTTACTAATTTCCAGTGTTCTGTTCCAGGATTGCTCTGGATTCTGTCAAGTAACCCGGTAACAAATGCCAAGTCAGAGCGCGTACATACTTAAGCATATTGCAAGCTTCCGACAACTGAAGTATATGGAACCGCTTTCATTTGATCGATCTCATATTAGTTTCTGGGCATTGAAAATCCCCATATCTGTCGCCCTTGACTATAGGAGCAGGTGAGGGACTATATTTGTGCATACTGAATTTCTGTAAAATCCTTTCTATGTATGCCTTTTGTGATAGTCCTAATACCCCTTTACTTCTATCTCGGTGAATCTTGATCCCTAGAACGAACCAAGCTTCACCAAGATCTTTCATATCAAATTTTGAGGACAAAAACTTCTTTGTCTCTAGTAGTAGACTAACATCACTACTAGCAAGTAAGATATCATTCGCATACAGGACAAGGAAGATAAACTTCCCATTCTTAAACTTTGCATAGACACAATTGTCCTCTACATTCTCTTTAAACCCAAAATTCCTTATTATCTGATCAAACTTCAAGTACCACTGTCTTGAAGCTTGTTTTAATCCATAAATGGATTTCTTTAGGCGGCATCCCATTCGTTCTTTTCATTCCATGACAAAACCTTTCGGTTGTGCCATGTAAACATTTTTCTCCAAGTCCCCGTTGAGAAATGCCGTCTTTATATCCATCTGATGTAATTCTAAATCGTAATGTGCCACCAATGCCATTATGATTCTGAATGAATCCTTACATGAGACTGGAGAAAAGGTCTCATTGTAATCAATCCCTTCTCTTTGCGTAAAGCCTTTTTGCCACAAGTCTCGCTTTATATCTCTCTATATTCCCTTAAGAGTCAAGTTTTGTTTTATAGACCCATTTACAGCATACTATTTTGGCGCCTTTAGGAATTATTTCCAAGCCCCAAACTTTATTGGCATTCATAGATTTTATTTCATCTTCCATGGCCTCAAGCCACTTCGATGAATGATCACTTCTCATGGCTTCTTCAAATAAGGTGGGATTATCCTCCATTTGAAATTCCTCAGTATTGTATACTTCATAGTCAGCAGGAATAGCTGATTTTCTAATTTTTTGAGACCTTCTAGGGGCCTCCACATTCATTGTTACCACAGGCGGAATAACAACAGGTGCTGGCACCATAGTATCTTACACTGTCGGTGCAGTGACATCTGGTAGTGAAAAAAATGGCTCATGAATCATCGGAGTGGGCGCATACACGCGCTTCTCTTCAAGGTCAATTTCTCAAGCTACCATGCTCCCCCTCATCATTTCATCCTCTAAGAAGACAGCGTGTCTCGTTTTCACAAACTTTGTATGTCTGTCTGGACAG